CGTATAGAAAGTGTTGGAAGTACTTCGAAGTACTTCCCAGCTAAATAAGACTTGTACGTATAGAAAGTGTTGGAAGTACTTCGAAGTACTTCCCAGCTAAATAAGACTTGTACGTATAGAAAGTGTTGGAAGTACTTCGAAGTACTTCCCAGCTAAATAAGACTTGTACGTATAGAATATGTTGGAAGTACTTCGAAGTACTTCCCTGCTAAATAAGACTTGTACGTATGGAATATGTTGGAAGTACTTCGAAGTATTTTTGTGCAATGTTGAGCCGGATCGTAGGGGAATATGGTGCGAATATGCGAAATTAGGTGGATTGTTCGGATTGTTTTATTGCGAGATGGTTTGAATGGTTTGGTTCTGTAGAGTTGTTTGGTTTCCTGGGTAGTTGCGAGCGGAAGTGGGGGTTTGTTGTTGTGGATTTCGTCGGAAGTTGTGATGAAAGGAGCGGAACCGGTGGTTAACGTTCCCAGGCGTCGTGTGCGGTCGGAACGCGACGCTTCCGAGGGAGTCGACGCTGGAAAATAGCGGATTTTTGCGGAAGTGTTGGTCGAGGCTTTCTCGGAGGATCCGGTTATCGAGAATAACAGGGTTTGGGAACTTCCGGTGTGAGGAAGTCTTCGGTTTTTGTAGGAAGCTTTATAGGCAGTATCCGGCGATGTTGGTTGATCGGAATTGAAGGAAAGTTTGATGGTTCCTTGTGAAGAGTTTGGGAGGATCGCGTCGGAAAGTACAGTGTGTGATCCGGTGAGGATCCGTCCACTGGATATCAGGAAATTTTGTCGTTTTTTCATGAACGGAAAAAGTTGGAATACGTCGGAAAGGTTCATGTGTTTTTCGATTCGGATCCGCTGACAGGAATGGAGAAGAGCGATGGCGTTTCCGATGCAAGGGAATGACAGGAGGAGGTAGGAAATTTCCTCGTGTAGTCCGGCCGGAATCCGGCGGCAAAGAACCGGCTAATATCCGGTGCTATCCAGTTGTTTTCCGAGACGGAACCTGCAGAATTGTATCGATTTCCGATGTTTTCCGTCTCGGTTCCGTGCCGGTTCCGGCGGTCGGAATGCTCGACCTGGGTGCATACTTACTCGTCTATGATAATACACTTATATCTAGATCAAATATAATAAGAGTAGAAGAATGACAACTTATGAGTAAAACTGTGTCGAATCGCTTTGTCTCGTTCTAAACCCATCTCTGCAAAATAGAACCGACTACAACAACAACAACATCGACAGCAACGACGTCCTCTACTACGGAGACAACCTCAACTTCTACATCAACTACGACACCGCCGATAGGTAAGCCAATGTTTCCTTTATCTAATTCTCAGACGTCACCAAACAAGAGCGATTTCTTTTTATGAACATAACTAAGCACGAGCAGAAGTATTTGTAGCCTGAGAAAAGGATCGATTAGTAAGGTATTGAAAGAAACGTATATCGCAGATGACATATTAATCGTGTACGTAAGTTATTCTACTCACTGTGACATTGTAGGTCAAATTCCAATTGCCCCTGTCAATGGAACACTTGGAGCTATTTACAATACATCTGTAGGTGGTGATAGTACGGCATCAACAAGCGGCTACGGTATTGGTCAGTACCCACCAGGTCAATCACCAGAGGCGGCGTGGGATAATGATACATCAACTGTGTATATAAATTTTGGATCATGTACAGCGTCTGATAATAATAATCAGTGTGGTTTGAACACTGGCTTCTATCTTGAATTACAACGTGGTGCAACTGTAGTGACGGCGTTACGATTGTACACAGGCGGTGATCATTCTGAACGTGATCCGCTAATCGTGTCGTTAGAAGGAAGTAATCAATCAGGATCAAATCTGACACTTGGCAGCAGTTGGACTCTTATTTATAATGGCCTTAGTGGATTAGCAACCTATCCGGGTCCTAATAGCGGCGGCTCGATACAACAAATAAACAACACGATTTCGTATAAGAGTTATCGATTACTTGTGTCTGCAAAACGATCAGCGTCAAACAGTGTTCTGTATTCTGAACTGATATTGTATGGATACTAACATGTTTATCTTACAGTTGCAAACTAATTCAACGCTCTGCAAGTCCATGTTCTCCTCTTGTAGAGTTTAATGTCTTAAGTTCTTTGTCTTTTCAAGACGCGCTTGCTTGTTGTCATATCTCATTGTTGTAAGCATTCATCATTGTTGCACTTTTCTGCGCCTATAAGTTTTATTTGATTTCACTATCTGTACCATTATGGACACACTGTGTTATAGTATAAATGGATTGTTCATTTTTTAAAAGTTAAACATTGAAATTTAGACCAAAACTAGTGTTGACTCTGTTTTATGTCAATAAGAAATAAGACGTAGATTACCTTGTGGCATGATACTGCGAATGTGTTACTGTAAGGACCGCATAAAACTCACCAATCGAACGCTTTTCGAAATAAATTGTGATATTCAGAAACTTTCTTTGAATTTGTTGATTCCACTAAGTTTTTACCTGTTTTCTTACGTGATGAGTTATTTTAGAGTATGAATAGCCATTCTGAACAATATTATTCGTTGGTCGGCTTGTCCAAGTGTAACGGTGTGACATTTTGACACGCTATTTTATCAATATCCCAACAACTATAAACGTTAGAGAGTTCGTTCAAACGTCATTCGACGCAGCTTGGCATATTCTATGTTCACTGCAAAGATGAATAGTTTCCATCACTTGCTCGAATTTCTAGAACGATTATGAGATCACGTAACGGTGTGACATAAACGGACCCACAAGCTCGAGTGCTTATAATTAATCCGTGATTTCCTGCCAAACGGTAAGTGGAAATATAATTTGGTAAGAATGAATTTTGTAGAGCTTTTCAAGCGCTTCACGATGGTAAAAAGAAAAGTTACCTATCTTTTTGCCTTAGGTAATAAATCCCACGATACAAACGTAACGGTATGACATTTTTCGTAACGACGTGACACAGTTTTTTGTGAGCCATTTTTCAGGTACTTGGCATGATGAAAATGATTTTATTTTTTGAAGACTGAGTCCTTATGTGTAGCTAAGTGTTATATAGAAAAATCAGATCGGTTGATCGAAGTGGAAGCTCAAAACGTGGCCGTAATCGAGGAAACTACTCACAAAAGTACGAAGCAATCCTAGTTACCAAAGTGAAACCCAAATAGCTCATTTGGTAGAGAATTGAATTCTGCATCGAATGATGCGTCCTCAGGCATTCTTTGAGAAATTTTATTTAGTAAAAAAACGAAAAATACGATTTCTGAAAAGACGAAAGCCAGATTTTGGATGAAAAAAAATTGATTTTTATACAAAACGGACATCGAATTCGTAAACAGCGTTAAAAACTACAACCATTAATCTATTCAAACTTTGCTAACTCGAAAAAATATTTTTTCGAAACTTGATCAGCGAAGTGTTACTTTACGTGGACAAGCTGGTATACTCTTAAAAATATACGAAAAACATTCTCTCCCAGGCCTTCTATCTGATACTTTCATTACAGCGTT